CCCAGGCCCTGAGTTCAAGCCCAAGGACTGGCAAAAAAAAAAAGAAAGAAAAAGATATGTTCCTATTGCATTAGGAGGAGGAGAGAGCTAGAGAAAGGAGGCATCCATGAGTTTGGGGGGGGGGCGGGGGTGGGGGAGACTCAAATGGATTGGGTGCTTTATTTATTTTTGTTGGTCGTGGGGCTTGAACTCAGGCATGGGTGCTATCCCTCAGCTCTTCAGTTCAAGGGGAGTGCTCTACTGCTTGAGCCACAGCGCCATTTCTGGTTTTCTAGTAGTTTATTGGCAATAAGAGTCTCAAAGACTTCCCTGCCTGGGTTGGCTTTGAACCGTGATCCTCAGATCTCAGCCTCCTGAGTAGCTAGGATTACAGGCATGAGCCACCAGCACTCAGCTTAGGGTATCTTTTTGTATTTATCTTTTTTTTTTTTTAAATATTGAACTTCTGGGGCTGGGAAGGTGGCTCTGTGGTAGAGTGCTTGCCTTGCATGCATGAGGCCCTGGGTTCAATTCCCCAGCACCACTTAAGCAAAAGAAAAAAACCAGAAGTGGCGCTGTGGCTCAAGTGGTAGAGCGCTAGCCTTGAGCTGAAGAGCTGAGGGACAGCGCCCAGGCCCAGAGTTCAGCCCCCACAACCAGACCCCCCCAAAAAAAATATATAGATAGATAGATATAGATATAACTTCTAAGACACTTATATGGCTAAGCTAAAAGGAACACAATATACTGTTAAAGAAAAGGACTCCATTTGATTCTACATTAAAAATATTTTTGCCTTCCATATGTCTTCTAGCCATTTTGTCTAACTCTGCTTCTGCTGCTGTTGCTATAGACTGAGTTGCCATCATTTTCTTGCCTAGTCTTCTTACTCTTCTTAACTAGTTTTATTGCATCCATTCTGTCCTTTCCCAAATCTCTTCATATTATAAACCATATAGTGACCTTTTTTAGTCTATAAATTTAATATATCTCTTTTCTGCTTAAAACAAAGGTCATTAGCAGGTCCTACAAGCACATGGTCACATGCCCAACCAATCCCTAAGCAGCAATATGGCATATGATACCTGGTCTTACCTCACATCTAAAGATTTGGCAGGAAGTACACAAGAGACCCAAAGACAGATAAGGCAGTTAAATTCTTTAGATAGGCAAATTCTTTCACCCACAGCAAAGTGAGATCATATCCACTCATATCTTCAATCCCACAGGGTAACACTGAACTAGAGGGGCTAGGTTATAGAAGTGATGGGTTGCTTTGTTCTTTAAGATATGAACTCTATGCTGGAGCTAAGCAGTTTTACAGCATGCAGCTGTATCTGAAAGGGCAAAGTGGCAAGTCCCATGGCTTTCTGGAATCAGGGAAGCAGGTGAGCCACGGCTTCATTGCAGCCTCCCACTGGATAGGGAGCCTCCTGCTGGCCAAGGAGTCAGCTCCTTATATCCATCTTACCATGATCCAGTATCAAATGGTATCTTCCAGTTCCTCAGCCCTTCCTGAATGGCTGATGTATGGATGACATTTGAGCTACTTTGAAACTTGATAGACTTCAGAAAAACCTGGAAGAAGGTATTCTCAGATGGAACCAAAGATACAAAGGAAGGTGTGGGACAATTTGAAGAATGACAAGTGAGAGTGTTTTGATGGAAGTACAATTAATATGGGTGCTAGAAAGGGAGTCTGGAGTAAGATTGTTCAGGACCTTAAATATAGGATTCCTTTTCTTAGCAAGAGTAGTAGCTAATGTTGCTAAGTGGACAGATTAATCAAATTTTTGGAGGATTACTTATGCAACAATGTATATAATACATTGGAACATGGGAGTCTGGATTCAAACCAGTTAATGTCTCAATGAAAGGTAATATAATTACAAGTTGAGATCTACTTTTTTAATTGGTAAGTCATGGAACTCCTTACAAAGTATAATGTCCATCTGTCAATGGCCCCTTATTTGCCTTTGGGGAAAATATGGTTTGTGTGACATGCTACAGGAAATGAGCGGAGTGTCCTCTGCACAGCAGATCAAGTCAGAGTTAGAAGGAATTTATTATAGGATTTCATAATAAATTGGAGGAGACTGAAGAATGAAGGGAAAAAAAGGGTCACGTCTTAAGTACTATCAGAAAGTAAGGTATCAGCCATTTTGTTAGTTTTTATATTGAAGATAGGTTGAAAAAAATAGTAGTCATTTCTGTTAGCCAGAAGAGGGGGATGTTTCATTATTTTTGTGGTTCATGAGCATTCTGTCTGGTTTCAGAAATCATTACTTGGTAGTCCTATCTCTGTCTTCTAGTATGGGTCACAGAGTAGTCTTATCTGAATACTGTTTATCATCTCAAAATGATTTATGTTTAGTTGAGACTACTGTGATTTTTCTGTCAACATGCAAATGCCAGGGACTTTAAAAATCATCAGTACATGTGTTAATTTTTGTCATTGTGGCAAATACTTGAGAGAAACAGTTTAAAAGGAAGAGAGATTTGTTTGGACTCTCAGTTTCAGAAACGTCAGTCTGCATTTGGCTGGCTCTATTTTTGTCCTGTGGTGAGGCCGTATACCATGGCAGACCGACATGGGAGAAAAGTCACTCACCTCATGTCAGCCAGGGAGCAGGACAGGATTCCCTTCAAGGATTTCATAATTCCCTTCAAGTGCACTCTCTCAGTAATCTTCCTCCTCCAACCAGGCCTCACAACCCACCACCTCCCAATAGTGCCATACAGTTATGAATTCCTCAGTGGACTAGTATAGAGCCCTCATGATCCACTCACCTCTCAATGATTAGGTCCACCAACTAGGGACCAAGCCTTCAATACATGTGCTTTTGGAGAATTCTTCATATCTTAACTATAATAGTACCTGATAGCCTGACCTGCTCAGCCCAGAAAGAGTTATCTCTTGTCTCATATATTGAGCAACCTCTTGCATTTATCCTAAACAACTACATTGTCTTGGTGGTACATAGCTTGAAAAACATTAAACATTGGCACTAAAAATGAAGGGTAAAGGACTGAGAAAGGTAAAAGGTTTTCAAAACTCTCTGCCATCTTCAATATGCGCAGGTCACTTAAAAGTTACATTCCACAAAAATAAGCTGCTGTCTGTTTTTACAATCTGTGATTTTTCTACCCTTGAGCATTATGCCTTTATCATTGTGCTCCTTCTCATACCTAGATGTCAGTCTGTCCTTTAAGAACCAATTAAATATCTCCCCCAACTCAATGTTAGTTTTGACAGTAAGATCAAGAAAGGGTCTACTTAAACCAGGTGCTGGTGGTTCATGCCTATAATCCTAGCTACTCAGGAGTCTGAGATCTGAGGACCAGCCAGCCTGGGTAGCAAAGTCCATGAGACTCTTATCTCTAATTAAGCACCAGAAAAACTGAAAATGGAGCTGTGGCTCAAGTGGTAGAGTGCTAACTTTGAGGAAAAAAGCCAAAACCAAAAACCTCAGGGATAGTGCCCAGGACCTGAGTTCAAGGCCCAGTACCAGCATAAACCAAAACAGGTCCATTTAAAATACAGTAAATAAGCTGGGCACTGGTGGCTCACACCTGTAATCATAGGTACTCAGGAGGCTGAGATCTGAGGATCACGGTTCAAAGCCAGCCTGGGCAGGAAACTCCATGAGACTCTTTATGTCCAATAAAAAAGACACCAGAGGGCTGGGAAGTTGGCTCAGTGGTAGAGCACTTGCCTTGTATGCCTGAGGCCCTGGGTTCGATTCCTCAGCACCACATAAGCAAAAAGAAAAAAGCTGGAAGTGGCACTGTGGCTCAAGTGGTAGGGCACTAGCCTTGAGCTGAAGAGCTAAGGGACAGTGCTCAGGCCCAGAGTTCAGGCCCCACAACCGGACCAAAAAAAAAAAAAAAAAAAAGACACCAGAAAACCAGAGGTGGTGCTGTGGCTCAAGTGGAACACTTCCCTTGAGCTGAAGAGCTGAGGGACAGCACCCAGGTTCAGGGTTCAAGCCCCATGACCAGAAAAAAAAAAGTAAATAAAGGATAAATTGCATACCTGAATACATTTATTTTAAATTTGAGCAGTCAAAACTCGAATTTCCTTGAATTCACATAGCCAATTCTTTTTTTTTGTTTTGTTTTGTTTTTGGGTCCGGTTGTGGGGCCTGAACTCTGGGCCTGAGCACTGTCCCTCAGCTCTTCAGCTCAAGGCTAGCACTCTACCACTTGAGCCACAGTGCCACTTCTGGCTTTTTTCTTTTTGCTGAGGAATCGAACCCAGGGCTTCAGACATGCAAAGCAAGCGCTCTACCACTGAGCCACCATCCCAGCCCACATAGCCAATTCTTATATCTCTAAAGCACTTATTTATAAGATTTATTGTGTCTATGTGTATACTATTTAACAGCCAGACAGTGGTGCCATCAAACTATCTTGAAATTTGCTTCTCTCCAGCTTCTCGGGCTTAACTATTAAACAGAAAAATGTTTTAAATCTGCACCCTCATCTTCCCCTCATTCAAGACAAAGTTTTTGGCTGTATTTATTTGGCTCTATTTATAATAGGAAGGTTGAAAGAAACATCAATATCTTGATATTTCTTGGGAAAAACAGGATGAACTAACAGTGAGACAGGAACTGTTATCAGAAATAACTTTTAGATAAGGATGAGGAGACTGACAGTGGGAACGAATGGGAGAGGAGAGAATGAAAGTATATACGCATGTGAAAGTAGAGTAGTGAAACCGTTTAGAATTGTTAAATAGAAGAATCAATAGGGGTGATAATAGAGGGGGTATTTGATCTAAGTATCTCATAAGCATAGATGGAAATACCACACAATAAAACCCTTTTGTACAATTAATATATACTGATAAAATGAAGAGTCGTATTTTAAAATTGTATATGGTTAACATTTGAGGAAGTATAAATATCATAATCCTCTTGTTCTATATGAGAAAAAAGAGACTGGGAAAAATGACATATTAGTTCAAAATAATAGATTTAATAACAAAGTGGTTTGCATTTCCTATTTTAATTTAGGAACAACTCCTTGCAAAAAACCTGGGAACCGAGAATGCAATCATCACTGCAAAAATAAACATACATGTGGACATGACTGCTGTGAGTTCTCTAGAACAACTTTGTTTCAAACTAAAAGTGAATGTCCTTGGCCTCCCAATTATCTAGAAATAACATCCTGGTTATCTATCTGTGATATTACATCATGCAACTTACAAGTCTGAAATAGTTTTCTTTCTTTTGGAGCAAAATGGAAAAAGTAAATATTAAATTTGAAATAAAATTAGCTTTATATTGAATAATAATTAAAGTTTAATCTAAAGAATCTTACATTTTTATAGGTAAAATTGGGGTTGCACAGAAGTTAGAAGTTAAAGAGTCAGCAATTTCTTCATATTTATCTGACTTAAGGAACAGGAATGCTGTTTCATCTCTTCCTCCATTTAAATGTCTCAAGGTTAGTTTTAGTATCATTTTTTCTTTTTTATTGTTAAGTGAAAGTAAATATTTGTTCTGTGTATCCATTAGGTAGGTATTTACAGTATATAAAGTATATAAAGACCCTGGGTCTTTAACATGCTAAGCAAGTACTCTACAACTTGAGCCATGTCACCAAGCCACTTCATTTCTTGCCCTTCCGTCATCTGTCCTGGACTGGGATGGAAATTCTGAAGTTGATCTGCATCTAAATGGGTACTGAGCTAGAGCCTTCCTTCCAAGCAATGAAAGAATGAATTTCTACTGGTTGGTAGGCTAGTCAGTAGCAGATTTACCTTGAGCCTAAATTATATCCTAGAAAATCCTTTTTGTTAGGATTTTCATAAGAATAAAGATTCTGGGCTGGGAAAGTGGCTCAGGGGTAGAGTGCTTGCCTTGCATGCATGAGGCCCTGGGTTTGATTCCTCAGCACCACATAGCAGAAAAGGCTGGAAGTGGCGCTGTGGCTCAAGTGGTAGAGCGCTAGCCTTAAGCTGAAGAGCTGAAGGACAGTGCCCAGGCCCAGAGTTCAGGCCCCACGTCTGACTAAAAAAAAAAAAGAAGAAAAAAGATTCTGTTAGATGGCTAAAATGGGGAATGTTGGGAAATGAGAAGGAACATGAGGTTTATAATGATCACCACTGTGTGATCATGCTAATTTTTAATAGCATAAGTTTTCCTTCCTTCCTTCTTTTCTCCTTTTTTCATTCCATATTCATTGAGCATCAAGAATATTTCAGGTTAAGATATAATGATAAATAAGAATTCATAGTTGAATGAAGTACTTAGGTAATAAGCCTTATTTATACTTCTATGACAGAAGTATAAGATACTTCAGTTAAATAAGATGTGTACTCCATACACATTTTATGGGCCAGGAAAGGATTCTTAATAGATGTGGTTGAGACCCAAAGGAGAAGTCAAGTACAGAGGGGTAGAATACCAGAATAATGGTGCAAGTGATGTAATATTCCAGGCAAGAATATGCAAATGTATGTATTAGGGGAGGAGGGAGAAAGAAAGGGAGAGAGAAAAAAAATGTGACACATAGGAACTGGATCATGAAGACCTTTTTGCTATTTTAGGAATATATAATTTTTCTTGAAGTATTGAGTGATATGATCAGAATTATATTTTATAAAGATCTTTTGCAGCAAGATAGAGAGGGGGATAGAAGTTTAAAAATAGGAACTTGAGGAATCATTAACTTGTTTTTATTTTTTTCAATAATTCATAGGTCTAGTCTAGAGCAATGGTAGTAGCAGTAGAGAGAAATGAGTATTTTAAGAGATTGTTCAGAGGTAATATGATCCAACTACTTTGTTATTTCATTATTATGGGAGGTGAGGTAAGAAGAACAGTCAAAAGTATGATGCCCAGACTTCTGGCTTGAATAACAGGAAGGAAAGCTGAGCATCTCTCTGGCAAGAACACCAAAAGAAAAACACATTTGGAGAAAGAAAGTGTTGAGTCACTTTAGGAAATAATGGATTTAGGGCTGAGGATATAGCACAGTGGAAGAGCCCTTGCCTAGCATGCATAAGGACCCAAGTTCAATACACGACACTAAAACCTGAGAGGACTTACAGGTCAAGATTTATATGTAAAAGACAATCTTCAGGCAATTGGATATCAATATTTGAAAATCAAGAGAGAGGGCTGAGTTAGAAATACGATTTTGATAGTCATATGTAGACAATCTTTGAAGCCATGGGACTAAATAGATCTTTCAGTGAGAACATACAGAGTGAGAAAAGAAGACCTCCTAAAGAACTATGAAGATTGCCAGTATGTGAGAAGAAAATTTGAGTTGGAATTAGCCTGGATTTCTCCTCACTTTATTGAGTTCTGGACCTGTACCAGCAGGAATTTTGATGTTTGGCTGATGTGTTAAAGTTAATTTGAAATTATTAATTGATTTAATTTGAAATAAAAATAAATGTAATTTTTTCATTAATAGCTACAGATGAATAAATCTCAAAGTGTGGATCTCAAAGAGTTTGGTTTTACTCCAAAACCTTCTATATCCAATAGATCAAGGTACAAATATAATGTTAATATCTAAGTTAAAATATTCATTTTAAATTATTTGTTTCTCTAGCCACTTTTTCAGCAGAAGGTGGTCATTGGCTACTCACAGAAAATCATGCTAATCATTTAGTTCCATGGTGAAGCAACTATATTATTTATACACACGCATACACACACACATTTTGTCATCTTTTGTTCCATACATTTGTTTAGAACTCTACAGTTATAGAATATTTGAACATTCATTGAACCATCTTTTCCCTAGGAAACTATTCTATGTGTCATCTTGTCAGATTTGTTGCCTTCTAATCTAGGTGGCAGGAATACATTGGGTTTTAGAAAGGGACATCATGTTAGTATACAAAGTCCAAACTTTCTGTTCAAGTGCTCATTCCATATTGTTAATACCTTAGATTTATAAAATACTTTATAATTTGAAAGTCTTACTTTTGTGCATCATTTCTTTTTTATCTTAACCACCTTGCTCACAAAGTATTTTCATCTCATTTTATTGATAAAAGACACAAACTTCATATTTCTAGTTAGTAAGCAGAAGGCCTTGATGCCAGTACATTGTTCTTTTCTCATGTTATGATTTAGAATCATCCAGGTAAGAGTGTTCTATATCCAGGAAGGACAGTCAATTAATTTATTAACTAATACAGAACAAGAAATTACTAATCAACACTAGATCCTAACATTACTTCTAAAGATCTGTTTTTATCTAACTTAAAACAGAAATAGTAATACATTTTTAAGGACTATATGATGATAGCAAATATTCATTTGGGGCATGTAAAGCTAAGTACTGGTCTCTTCCATTCAACAACATCTTTTACACTTCGCTGCCAAGGCAAGATACAGTTTATCACAGAAATGATGGGTACATAAACAGTTTTCTCTTTTATGCAAATAAGTAGTTTTTAAAGCCAGATTCATTTTCATCCTTTGTTTAACTTTTGCACTTTTTGGGGGTTGGGGGTCGGTCATGGAGCTTGAACTCAGGACCTAGGTCTGCTGTAAAGGCTAGTGCTATACTTCAGCTCCATCCACTTCGTGTTTTCTGGTGGTTAACTGGAGATGAGAATCTCACAGAATTCCCTGCTGGACTGGCTTTGAACAGTGATCCTTAGCTCTCAGCCTCTTGAGTAACTAGGTTTACAGGTGTGAGCCATCAGTGCCTGGCTTTAACATTTTTATGGTTTTATTTCTCTTAATAAAGATCTGAAAATTTAAGCTTACCTGAATGGCATGTAGTTGAGCAGAAGGATCAGAATGAAATCTGTGGAAAAGTTCAACAGGGACCATTTGAATATCAGGGCAAAGGTAAATTGTCATTATATTGACTTGAGAATGAATGGATTTGGCACTACTTTGGATTGACAAGTAATGTTGTTTAAAAAATGTTCATAATTATTATGATGATTAACTTAGCAATTTTTCCCCTGGGTTAAGGGGCTGCTTTCATGGTTTTGGCTTTGTTATTTCAGATGGTCTTACTCTATGTCAAAAAGGCAACTTCCCTACACAGTGTTGACTATTTTATTTAAAAATAATGTAAGGAAGAGCTGAAAAAAACATCTCTTTAGTTCTTAAACCTATGTTTCTTATCATTTCTTTAATACAATAGAAAGATAAAGTAAGTTGAGGGGAACAGAAGACTTACAAGTTTTGCTTTTCACCTGTATCCCTAACTAGTGAGTTAAGCATGTTAACTCATCATCATCATTGCTAATGTTCATTATGACTCCTGATATTATTAGCATTATTTCCCTAGATCATCCTATTAATCACTACTCTGTGAAAATGAATGAGAAATAATCACAATCAGTGAGTTGTTTGTTCATTGTAAGTATAAATAAAATGGTATGAAATAATAAGTTGGGGATTTTCTGAAAAAAAAATACTGTCTCTGTCATTGCCTTTTGTTTCCATTCTTTGACACTGTCATTTTATGTTTCCTTCCGTTATAATTTAGGATCTTAGAGGGCTATGGATGCAGCTCAGTGATAGAGGGGCTTGTCTAGTATATGTGAAGCCTTAAATTCAACCCCTAGCATTAAAAAAAAAAAATCAGTCACTCAATAAATGTAGGGAGGAAAGAGGTGAAGTATCTGGCACTGTTTTTTGTTTTTTTGTTTTTTGGATAGTCTTGAGGCTTGAACTCAGGGCCTGCGCAATGTCCCTGAGCTTCTTTTTGCTCAAGGCTAGCACTCTACCAGTTGAGCCAAAGTGCTACTTCCAGCTTTTTCTGAGTATGTGGTACTGAATTGAACCTAGGTCTTCATGCGTGCTAGGCAAGCACTCTACCACTAAGGTACATTCCCAGTCCTACCTGCCACTTTTTAAAGTACCGTAACATCATTTTTTTTAATTCCCTATTCTGAGTTGAAGAGTGAAAGATTAAAGATTTCAGGGGCAGACAATAGAGTAGTATTTGACAGCACAGATTAATTTAAGTGAAAGCTAGGTTTTGTTAAAGCAGAAAACGGTCCTAGAGCGATAGTATACCTCTTAAGGGAAACTGAGGGCAGACAGCTTGGCCAAGCAGTCAAGTGTGTCTATCCCTGAGTCGTTGTCAGTTTTATGGAGTAGGGCTTAATGGTTGCAGTAGTGATTGTGCTAATGGTGGAATTGTCCAAGAAATGAAAATATATCTCCAAGAATGAGAATGGTTTACCTAATAAGATGCCCTCATTGAGCCAAGGAATTGAAAACAGGATTGTAATGAGATGAAGATGAGGCCTCTGGCTCATCTCTAGTCTCCTTTGCGGTTGTCTTGGGGACTGTTGGCTTCTATATCAAGAAGTAATCTCTACCATAGAACTGGCTGACAAAATGTACCTAAGTGTGGTACTGTAACAGTTCTCCTGGTTCCCTTGTGTTATTGTTATTTCCTTTTTACCTGCCTATCCTGAACAAGGAACATTTTGTCCTACTCGTTCAAAGCCTGGATATTATTACAAAATGGATAGGAGGTTTAAAATGTTCAACCCTCTTATAGCCTTCTAATTTTTTTCTTATACTGCTACTCTGTTCCCTGCCCTTCTATATAGTTCATCCTTTACTCTGCTTACTTCTAGTTATATTTTCATGGTTTTCCTACTTTTGCTTCTTTTCCACCCACTAATCCCAACTCTAATCTATATTATGATACTAACTTATCATCTAGATTGGAACCCCCAGTAATAACTATATTCCTGTTTTACCTTTATTCTTTTCCTTCTTTCATTCAGGAGAGCCTGTAGTGTGGTAGTTAGACACACAGGAACTGGAAATAATCTGCTAAGTCAGAGTTCTACTTATGCCATTGACTGTAGTGTCTCATAGTATACTTTACCCTTTATTTCAGTTCCCTCATCTAATTTTATTCTAAAGATTTTAGAATTGAGACAGGTAGTTAAAGCTGTTAATCGGGTACTATTAATTGTAACAATTAAGTAGGCTTATATTTTCAGACATTCTTTCTTGGCAAAACATAACTGTACTCAAATACTACTCTTAAGAATGTTTTAACAAAAACATGGCAATTCTTATCATATGTATCCCAATTTTCAAGAAGGGAAGAAAAAATTATGTTATATGAGAAAGCATGTTGAATCATAAAACTTAAATTGTAGAAGTGTGCTTTATGTAGTTTCTCATCTTACAATGAAAGAAACCAAGATTCTGATAGATTAAATGACTTGCCCAAAATCACATACCTAATTAATACAGGGCCAGAAATAGATTCCATGTCTCTTGATACCCAGTCCAATGCCATTTCTACAAAATGAAATTGACTTTTGGTTATCAGTGGAAAACTGCGTGTTCATATTATAGTATATGAACTCTTCCAACTTTCCATTGTACCAGCCCATCCTATTTCAACTATTTCTTTCTCTGTCTCTGGGAACATTTTTCTTCTATTCAAGCATTCTCTCTCTCTCTCTCTCTTGCTCTCTCACTCTCTCTCTCTTTCTCCATATCATTTATTTTATTTATTTCTAGTACTAAGAATTGAACCCAGGGCCTCATAAATGCTAGGCACACAGTCATTTGAGCCACACATGCAGTCCTTCTGTTTTGTATTTTGTTTCCTTTAATATATATTTTTTATTGTAAAGATACTGTACAAAGGGGTTACAGTAACATGAGTAAGGTAATGAGTACATTTCCTATTGAGCATTATTACCCCCTCCTTTGTTTTTCCCCTACCATTCCTTCCTTCCCCACCACCCCAACTCCTCCCTCCCCTCCCCAAAGTTGTAAAGTTCATTTTCAATTTAGTGTCTTGTACATTTCATTGTTACAATGAGTCAACTGTATCATTTTTTCAGTATTTTGTTATTTCCCTTCCCCTCCCCAAATTAGAAAAATGTATATACAAGATGCAGGGCACTAGAATCAAATACAGTGGAAATAGGGGTTATACTATGGGGGAAGAACATACAAAAGACACAAAAAAAAATCACATAGTACATTAAAAACAGCAGCAACAAAGATGAAACCTCTTGTGTTCCTATCTTGGGGTTCATTTCGCTTAGCATCATCTTATATGGTCATTTGTACATAGCTTTTGACCTTTTCTGCTTGTCTGGTAAGATTATCCTAGATGTATACTAGTTATTGCAAATAAGGGAAACCATGAGACCTAAGTTTTTGGGGGTCTTCACATAACAATTTTTTCTAAGTCTCTCAATTTGAAATGGTCTTGCTAACTTTGCCTGGGCTGGTCTTTAACTTGTGATCTTCCTCCCTCCACCTCCCAAGTAGCTGAGACCCAACTATAATCTTAATGGCATCTAATCCTACCCTCACAGGGACATTTGAGAACCAGTATTCCTCTCTTCTTTCCTCTGTCTTCATCCTTTTCTCTCTGCCTGTCTTTTCCTTCTTCAGCTACATATGTCAATCTAGCTAGTCATGACCTTTTTTATTTTTTTTACTGCAAGTGATAAAAATTCTACTTAAAGAGACATAATCACACAAAAGGATAACATTATCTCATGTAAACTGCCTTTAGCTTTGGCATTCAAATTATACACACCTCTCCCTTTCCCTCATGTTTTTAAACTATGCCTGATGATGATTGGCTTGATTTGTTAAATAGACTTTCTTTCTTTTTTTTTGGGGGGGGGGGCGGTGTCCGGTCGTGGGGCCTGAACTCTGGGCCTGGGCACTGTCCCTCAGCTCTTCAGCTCAAGGCTAGCGCTCTACCACTTGAGCCACAGCACCACTTCCAGCTTTTTGCTTATGTGGTGCTGAGGAATCGAACCCAGGGCCTCAGGCATGCAAGGCAAGTGCTTTACCACTGAGTCACCTTCCCAGCCCCTGTTAAATAGACTCTCTACGTAGCAGATAATCCCTAAAGTTTGTCTTCCTATTTAACACCCTCAATAGAAAAATACCATCTTCTTGTTGAATTGTAGACCTGAATTCATTCTAATTGGCTTCATTTGAGTCATGTGTTCATCCTTGATCAATCCCTATAGTCTGGGCATTGGGTCATTTTGTCCCCATGGCCTTAAAAAAGGCAGGGAACCATAAACAAAGGCTCAACAAGATCTTGTGGAATAGTGGAGGCATGCTACTTCAAAGCAAAAGGGAGGTGCTTCTACTGAAAGAGGGGAAAGCATGACAGATGGACCCAAACCAGGATTCCATGTCCTCTCTTTGCTGCTTTCTCATCAAAACTGAGAGTCCCAGATGAGCAATTTTACACTCACTTTGTTCACTTTCTTACTACCTGGGCACTGTTGTTCATTCATTCAATTGTGGGTTCCTTTCTGTCACTACTTTGAAACCACCATTTAATGACCTCCTGACTGATGAAGTCATTTAATAATTTCCAAATTTCACTTTTTGACCTCTGTATTTGAGATTTGTTACTTTCTTTTGCTTTAATCATTCTCAGACTGTCTGAGCTTTTCCTGTTGATCTTACAAATGGATTATTTTCTTTTTGCTTCTTTATTCTTTTCACTTCAAACCAACTTTTCCTAGATAATTTCATGTAAGCCCAAGTCTTCAATTACTAACTATACTCTGAGGGTTTTTGAATCTATACTTCTAATTACAAATACATCTATATAAACACCTTCTGAGATATGTTTATCAAAAGTTAACATATCAGCATCTAAACTCTATTTTCTTAATTCCTAGCTGTGCTCTCTCTCCTTTTTTTAATTACTTAGGATAAATTAGGAACTTGTTACAAATTACTTTCTAATCTACTGCACTATTTTTACTATTCCTTATGGTCTTTATTTATCTGTAGGGTAGGAAAACTATATAATGAAATTTATAGAGTTATTTTCATGTAGAAATTAAGAGGAAAATTAGTTATCTTTAAAACTATTAAAAATTAGATTTAATACAACTCTCGAACAACAATGCTTGACACAGTGTTTTGAAACTACTGCTCAAGAGCTCTGCTTAGTGACTTGACAGATAAGTTTTGTGTATGTGTGTATATATGTATATATATGTATGTGTGTATGTATACACACAATGATACTTATGATTTTAAAAGAAATTTTAATCTTTTATATGGACACATAATAGAATTTTCTGGATGGAACTATTCTACAACTTTGAATGAGGAAGCCCCTCAGACAAAAGTATTCAAAAGAAATCTTAATATATCTGGAAACCAGAATTTGACAGATGAAGATACTAGCAAATCTCCATTTTCAGAAGTTTTGAATGTGAACTTTGAATTGGGAAGTGAAGTTTGGGAAGATTTTGATGATGAAAACTTAATCGAAATTAGTAGTTTTTTAACTGATACTAAGAGGACAACAACATCAGGTAAATACATTGTCTTTTGTTTATTTTTCTAATTTGGTTCTTGGGACTAATTATCTTTGCCTTTTTATTTGTACTTACTTAGATTTAGTTTGTTAAGGTTGTAATTTCTAGCAAAACTGCAAAAGTGACCCATCATGATTTTTCCTCCTGTAGGTAGAAGTCAAGGTTATTTTATGGATATTGACATATCAGTTGAGCTTTTTTTTATTTGTTGCTCCTCTTATTAAAGACTCCATTCAAATTCAGACTGTTCATTAAATTTTCCCTCATGAAACAAACTCTTCTGCTCTCTAAGATCACACATGATCTCTAATATTTGTGAAGGGCAAAAATGTTTTTAAATGTATTCATCTACTTACAGAGAAAATAAAATAACTTCTAGTCAAAACATTGACTTTTCAGATACGAGCAAATAAGAGAAGATCCATTTCTTTGGTATTGGAAGTTGTATTTAAATCAGATACAAATGAAAAAATCATGAGACTTAGTTCTTTGAGTTGCAGACAAATTCATTTCACTAAAACACAAAATTGAAAATCTTGCTAAATGCTTGACAAGATAACAAGTGGAGATACTCTTCCCCCATAAATACTGACTGAAATCAGTCTTCAGCCTTCTCATGGAGACTCATATTCCCATCATTATGGTTTTGTTGCTTCTTAATGTATCCTACCTCAGGGAACCAGTTAGAAGTTTTAATACTGTTATCTTAGAGTATTAAGAATTACCTAAAATGCTAATCATCTTCAAGAAAATTATTACACTGTTCACAAAATTATCTGGAAAATCTCTCTGACGTGTGTCAGTAGGCAGTTTCCTGTATCGCTGGACAATAACTCCTGCCTCCGGACTGAATGGCATTGTGAACTGATAGCAGGCAGTGAATACTGGTCTTTAATTCAGTAGCCCTGTCACTGGACAGTCAATTTCAATGAACTGATTCACTTTAATAACACGCAGACCCTTGAGAATGTTGAATGCATTTCAACTTGATTGTTTGCCTGAATTAAAAAGTAAGCAAATAGTGATGATCTGAGAACCTTCAATCATAGTGACTCATAAGCTAACTTACATGTTTTATATTTATTTCTCTAGCTTTTGCCTTATTTTATACACAATTAGAAGAGTCAATTCTTCTTTTAAAAACTGCATCATATCTACAGAAGAAATCTCTAGTGGAATTTATTTTTAAAAAAGTTTTCCAGGTGGTGGTAGCTCACACCTGTAATCCTAGCTACTTAGGAGGCTGAGATCTGAGGGTTACGGTTCAAAGCCAGCCTGGGCAGGAAAGTCTGTGAGACTCTTATCTCCAATGAACCACCAGAAAACCAGAAGTGGTGCTGTGGGTCAAATGGTAGAGTGCTCACTTTGAGCTGAAATGCTCAGGGACAGTGCCCAGGCCCAGAGTTCAAGTCCATGACTGGCAAAAAAAAAAAAAAAAAAGTTTAATTCAGCTGTTCCTTCGTATTTTAGGCTTTGGAGACACCCCGAGTTCAAGTGCCAGGGAAAGTAAGCTACCCCTCCAAAAGTCAAAGAGAAAATTACAAAACACAGTGTCCAACAGGCAAGTTTTTAGAACTTTGGTTTGTAATTCTTTCAGCTTTGTATCCTCTTGAAAGACAATCAGAATATGAGACTGAATTATTAGGTGTCAGGGAATCCATAAGGTTCTAGACAACCTTTCTTAATCTTAGATGTATGTTAGATATGTTTCTGTTAAGCCACCTGCCTCAGAATCATCAGCAGATGCATATTAAAAATGTACATTTCTGGGGCCCTCCTACTAAATCATGGTCTTTTGGAACTCAGGAATTTTTATATTTTTTTATAATTTTTTATTTTATTTTTTTATTTTTTTTTGGTCAGTCATGGTGCTTGAACTCTGGGCCTGGGCACTGTCCCTCAGCTCTTCAGATCAAGGCCAGCTCTCTACCATTTGAGCCACAGTGCCTTGCTTATGTGGTACTGAGGAATTGAACCCAGGGCCTCATGCATGCAAGGCAAGCATCTACCATTGAGCCACCTTCCCAGCCCCAGAATTTTTATATTTTTTAAGAAAAGTAAAACAGGAGTGAACAGGGGTTCTATGTATAAAGAAACAGCTGTAAAAGAATAAGACTTTTGAGACATTTCATGCTCAAGGATCAGTGTTACCATAGGAATTACTATAGTATTAAGGATGAGATTGCCATAGTCTGATTGTGAAGGAACATTGAATGTCCTGATTAGATGAGTCTATAAGTCAAGGGTCACAAATTCAAGTGCCTTCATAATTTGGTGGGTTAGGCTACCTGTAGTTAAGTAGTTAAGTATAAGACTCAATGTGTGTGTTTGTGTGTGTGTGTGTGTGTGTGTGTGTGAGAGAGAGAGAGAGAGAGAGAGAGCTGTAGGGTTTGAAAACAGGGCCTGAGCTCTTTTGCTCAAGGCTAGCACTCTGCCACTTGAGCCTCAGCTCCATTTATGGTTTTCTGGTGATTAATTAGAGATAAGAATCTCACAGACTTTCCTGCCAAGGCTGACTTTGAACCACAATTCTCAGCTCTCAGCCTCCTGATTAGCTAGAATTACAGATATGAGCCACCACCACCCAGCAAGACTGAATTTTAAGAAGAATTATTCTAGGATTATTTCTATACTCCCTTAAAAACTGGTACTCTTATGTAATTTGGAATATGTAAATTCGTCTTGAAAAGGAAATATACTAAGTTTTCCATGAGTGTAAAATATAGATCAATTTTTAATAATAGGATAACATGGATCATCAATTTTTATAAGTATGATCAATTTTACATTCCTCAAATATACACTGTTAATGTAAATTAAAATGTTACTACAATGTTTTACAAATAATTAATTTAAAATTTTAGTTTTGTTTCATCATATGAGAAGCCATATACTTGTTTATCAAACCATGCTATGTCTGACTTGGGTCCATCCTCCATGATGCAATTGCCAGAACAGGCCGGAAATACAAATACTGTAAGCAGAAGAACCCCCCTGTTTCTTTTGGGGTTGGGGGGGGAGGTTGTGTGAATACTTAAACTTTCAATGACTGTTATTTTTTACACCAAATACAGGTTTCCCCTCATGACAGAAAACAAGGCCTGTCACCGGTGTTCGAGAGGCTGTGCTTTACTCAGTCCAAAGAAATACCAAATTCTACTAATGTTAAGAAAGTCGACTTCTTGATACAAAATAGTGAATCTAAAAAGGGAACGGATTTCAGGTTAGAACTCTTAAGTACATTTCAAGAGTATACCAATAAAAACCTTTTATGGGCAAATTCAGTATTTTTTCTTTGATTCATTTTAAAAATCAGAGCCTTTTATTTATTAAGCCAAACCTTTTGTTTATTAAAAACATTGAAATTTTACAGTTTTAGAGCTTGAGGTTCTTGAGATACTTTACAGCTTCAAATATCTCAATTTTTGAAAACCTGTATGTTTGATGCTAACAATTACAGAAGATATATATTGAGTTGATAAAGTAGTTTTTACTGATTCAATGTAGTATATTGATCATTTAAGTGTAGAATCATTTGAGAAACACAAATGAGACAAGCTAATTTTTCAAAATTTAAAGTTGTATTTTAGCCATCTAATTATTTTACAACTTGACAGGGCCAGTGACAAAGTTAGGATAAATCTGATCAATTCCTCCACTACTGGCCATTTTTGGAAGAACTGCAGCTTCTCTCATGGAAGAATCAGATTCAAGGCCTGTCCGTACTTTTATTAAGTAACATTATTTTGCAGTATATTTAAATAAATAACTAGGAAATTTGGCTCTTCTACAGTTTCCAAAGTCCAGTATTTTTTTTACCCACAGACAGGTTATACAGGCTAAGGTTCAGAAACAACCTCAGAACAATCTTCAAGTTAATATGTTGTATTCATATTACACTGTATTCTGTATTCTAAAATAAATTGTTTTACAAAAGGTTAATTTTACACTTGATCTTTCCCCCTTAGTTATTATCATCCTGTCGAAGCAGCTGGAGAAATGAAGAGTTTTCTGGGAATATTTGATGGCATTTTGTAACAACAACAAAATCTTATTAAAAGAAAATATGGAGACCCCTAACCTCAAACTATGCTTTTCATTTTAAAAAATCATAATTGTTAACGCTTTATCTCTTGATCAGTTTTGTTGACTTTTTTTCAGCACAGTTGAGGGGCTGATTGATTTTCTCATTCAATTGTAACTTTTTGAAAAGTACTTTCTTTTTTCTCAAAATGTGGCTTTTTTTCTAATGAGCTTAAAATTGATTTACACTTAGAAATAATTGTTTCATTCTTTATTTGATTTTGACAGGACCTAATTTGAATTGTCATTTTTTTATGTTCTTAAAGTATTCTGTGAAAGCAAAATAATGCTGTTAGTAAATCTGTTATTTAGATTGTTTGTTACATGGTGTTCATGTATTTTGTTATTGACTGCTTTAGTTTTTAAAAATCTAGTCATTCTTCGAACCTTGTTATCTTGGTTTTGAGCAATAATAAACTATTAGTATAGTTACTATCATTTAGCTTTTAATGGTATAAAATAAAAACCTTGTTATGCTGACTTTAACAGAAAGACATACTATTTTTCAATAAATTAAATCTCAAACTTATTGATGGGCATTCTAAGCAAAGCTTATTTCTAATTTATTTTTTATGTATATACCATATGAAGTTGAAGCCCATCTAAGAAATTTTAGAATTTTTTAAGCATTAGCCTTAGAAGATAAGTAAAAAAGAAAAGAAACTTTCAGGTGAGATTTTTTATTGTTTTGGTTAGTAAATATTTATGAGCATATGTATTAATTTAGATCAAAAGCATGAGGTTCGGTGGCTCACATCTAATATTACATACTCAAGATGCTGAGATTGAGAAGATCACAGTTTTATGCCAGCCAGACATTTTGTTCATAAGACCCCATATCAGTTAATACCTAGGTATGATGGTTCATGTATTCTCATGAATCATGGTAGCTTGTAGTGTAAATAGGAAAACTGCTGTCCAGACTGGCCCACATGAAAAAATGAGACACTATCTCAAATACAAGGTCAAAAGGGGTGGAGGTATGGCTCAAGGAGTAAAAGTACCTACTTAGCAAACATAAAGTCCTGAGTTCAAACCCACTATCATGAAAACAGGATAAAACTTAAAATCAACTAAGAGGTTTTGTTGAAAAATAATGGCAGCCAGTTATTTATTTGTTTTAGATCTCTTTAAAATTGGTATGTTTCAGATCTGAGTCAATCATCCTGAAACCTTTATATGTTATTAAACCCCATTAAAATGAAAATTTGAAGCTGGGAGACAGTGGCCTGTGCCTAGCTACTCAGCAAGCTGAGAGCTGAGGAACTCACATGGTAGAGCACCAACCTTGAGGGGAAAAAAACAAAAGTTAAGAGCACCTGAGACCCGAGTTCAAACTCTGCAACCAACACAAAAATAAAATGAAAAATCAATGCAATTACAGTGTTTATTTTGTGTACATAGACTTTGAAACTAAAGAAATAGAAATTCAATTCAACTTGACTTACTGTAATCTCCTAAGTGCAAAGTTCTGTACTCATTACTGTGGAGAATGAGAACACTTTTTGTTTTGCGACATTTAATATTTTGGTAGAGATATTGTAGCTTCATTTATAGATCACTATACCTAAGTGAATATCTCAATAAAGCAAGTCAGCTTTTCTGTTTCCTAATGAATATAAAAATTATATTCAGGGTTTGCTGCAGCCTATCATTTATGCAATAACGTCACAAACAATGTACATACTTAAAAAGACTTAAAAAGTGTGTGTGTGTGTGTGTGTGTGTGTGTGTGTGTGCTTGAACTCAGGGCTTAGGCAATGTCTCTGAGTTTTCTGCTCAAGGTTAGTGTTTACACCACTTGAGCCACAGCTCAAATGGAGATAAAAGTCTCACGGGCTTTCCTGCCTGGGCTGACTCTGAATGTGATCCGCAGATCTCTGCCTCCTGAGTCACTAGGGCTATAGCTGTGAGCCACCGGGGCCTGGCTTTCACTGAAATAGAATCTTTGGGAGGTTTCTCAGTTTATTCATGACAACCGTCAGGAGTTCTTTGAGACAGTGCCATGGCTCTTGGCCCATTGGAGAAGGGAGTCCCCTGACTCACCCCCCTGCGATGGCCCCACAGAGTGCATAGGTCCAGAGCTGGCCTCAGCCCTGGTCCGCCTTGGCCTCCTTCGCCCGGATGGACGCGTGCTCCTTCTCAGGGACGGTGGAGGGGAGGGGGGGGGGGCTGGCGGAGCGTTTCCACAGCACGTCCCAGAGTTCCCGGAACTCACTGAAATACTGAACAATTCTGAACTGTCAGACAACCCCTGGGTGTGCTCCTTGTAGGGTTGAACCTTCATATACATCACGTGACTTTGCAAGGCACAGGATGGTGGAGCGTGATCAAACAAGCCAGCCCGTAATCATAAAATGCCGTCGTCCCTGCCGCTCGTGGCGTCACCGCATGGCGGGGTTTAAAAAATACGTATCCAATTCCGCATCACAGAGTTTCTGCCAAATTGCAGGAGTTTGCGGTAAGTATATATTTATGATTTTAATTATTTTCGCCTAAAAATTTACAACTACAAAAATGCTAGCTTCAACATGTTAAGAGAATATTAAATCGAAATAAAATACAGCATGTGTCTCCTCAGTGATGACTACGGTACTGTACACAGTGGACCTGCAGTCTGCCACTACCGCTTGCGCAAGTTTGCCAACGTGAGATTGTACACGGCACACGATTGGCTGATGGAATGGAAGGCAACCAACCACAGCGCAGTGTTCGTATCCTGGGCGCTGATTGGCTCAGTGACCCTAGCATTGGTCCGTTTGCTCTCCCAGGCTCTGCCCATAGGTTCAGGCCTCTCCTTGTCCGCTGCATGTCCGCTGCACGCCCGCCGCACGCCCGCTGCAGTCCACTGCACACCTGCGTCTCATGGCTGTGAATAGTATTCTCCGCGGCGTTGTACACTTTGGAATATATTTCAACCACCCCAACGTTCTGCGCCTGCTGAGGCTCCGGGCAGTGAACCTGGGTCCGGGGAAGATGCTTACCCTCAGAGAGAGGGCGGAGCTTCTCCACGTGTCAAGGGCGGCTGCAGGCCGCCATTGCGGGCCGCGCACTTCTCCTGTTCGCTGCATGAAGCAAGATGAGAAGGATGAGGAGCGCGTGGGGTCTACCGCGGCGGTGACTCCAGCAAGAGGAGGGTGGTCACTTCCCGCAGCGAGTCCCTGTGAGGGCGGAGACCGCATCGGGCCTAAACACAGACGACTGCAGACAGAGGAACGGCTCGCCGGATGCCGACCCCGTCCGGACGAAAGCCAAGAAACTTCAGGATAGCTCTACGGGAAGACGGTCGTTCATGCCGGTGACGAGGATGAAGAGGAGGAGGACGGCGCAGAAGCAGACCGTCCAGTGCTTCTCCCCCAGACCGACCCCGCTCAGTGGCAGCAAGCGCTGGCTTGACACATTTCAAAGGTGCTCTGCCCTTGAGCATGGAGAAGCCTCTGCTTTTAACATAGAGGAGACCAAGTCAGCAAGAGAGAAGAGGATGAGGAACAAGACGAGCTACAGGTTGGAGAGGAGGAGGAGGTTGGCCTAACACTGGATCGTCCTGCAACCATGGTCAGAATGGCCAAAGAACGTCAGCGAGTGGCTGACGAATGGGACCCCTGATGCCTCATTCATTGCATTTTGTAAATACAATTGAGAGTGGCATTTCAGTTCATAAAAACCTCACTTAGAAGCAGCTCTATGTCACAGCCTGACCCCAGGCCTTCTGACTGAGAATCTGCATTTTAACAAGATTCCCAGCTGATTATGTGCACATTAAAATATGAGAAGCACTTGTACACAGTAGAAAATAAAGAAATGATACTGAAATTTTAAGAGATCCATTTCAGAAGACAAGTATAAGAGTGATGATGATTACATGGTTTTCTGCACATATTTTTTCCTGTTTAAAATATAATGTGATATAGCTCTTGTTTAATTGCCTTTCAGTATAGGGTGTTTTCTTCACCAACTGTGTAAATTATCTTTATAATTCTCATTCATCAACTGGGTGTTTTTTATGTAACTTGAGAGGTACTTAGAGGCTCTATAGAGTTTTGTTTTGATTAACATAATAAAAGCAAATAATTCAAATGAACAATCCTTGTTTCAGTTCAGAAACCTTTCTGTAAACTAACTTATGCCTTAAAAACTCCTACATACTTCAGCAAAACAAAACAAAGGGATAAAACTCCTCATAGTATTCTATTCTGAAAGATTTAGAAAAATGTGTGTGAACTTGCACTTGCATATATATGCTGTAGCTATAAAAAATTTTTTTTTGTGCGGGCGCCGGTGGCTCAGCCTGTAATACTAGCTACTCAGGAGGCTGAGATCTGAGAATCTCGGTTCAAAGCCAGCCCAGACAGGAAAGTCTGTGAAACTCTTATCTCCAGTAAACCACCAGAAAACCGGAAGTGGTGCTGTAGCTCAAGTGGTAGAGCGCTAGCCTTGAGCTGAAGAGCTGAGGGTCAGTGCTCAGGTCCAGAGTTCAAGCCCCATGACCAAGAACAACAACAACAAAATTAGCTAGAAAAGGAATTATAGGGGCTGAGAATCTGGCTTAGTGGTAAAGTGCTTGCCTAGCTTGCATGAAGCCCTGGGTTTGATTCCTCAGTACATAAACAGAAAAAGCCAGAATTGGCACTGTGGCTCAAATGATAGAGTGCTAGCCTTGAGCTGAAGAACTGAGGAACAGCACCCAGGCCCAGAGTTCAGGCCCCACTACCAACAAAAAAAAAGAGGAAGAAATTAAAAATACATACAAGTCTATGCTGGGGTGTAGAATCAGGGCTTTACTCATGGAGAAAGTGCGCTACCAGTGAGTTACACCTTCAGCTCAATAGCTCTCCTTTTAAGCTAAAATAATTTTAGCACAATTGTTAAATGATTTACAATGAATTTATTTCTACAAGTTATTTCTATTCTTTCTATAGTTATCTGATACATTTTAAACAAGAGAAATAATTGAGTGGTATGCTGAAAGAAACTTGGGTATTATAGCTCAAAATCAATTTAGTTACATTGAAGGTGTTGCCATTCAGCA